TCACTGAAGCTGAGGCCATTCTTGTCTCTTGTGCTGAAATCGTTCTTGCAGCTTTTATTATAGGGCATCTTGTGGAATTTTTCGTTATGAGTACAGTCTTGAGTACATTCAGAAATTCTTAAGTCGTTCATACGTATACACGTCATGACACGCTCACGGGTCAAGATTAATCCAGTGATTCGTGGAAACTGATTTCCAATGCTGTCAGTACTTATTATCTGCAATCTGTAACAGAAGCACTGTCAAGGTGAGATAAATCCTCTGGTACCTCCCTTGAATTAATTCAGCAGTATGTGCTATAGGGCTTCAATGCAAGCACTTCTCAGTATTTTCAGACCTTGTTTATTCATGCATGCCCTTCAGGGCGAAACCTAATGCTGGGACGAGTCAAAACATGCCACATTTGTTCAGCACTTCCAGTACAAGCTTGTAAGTGAAGACCAGTAGAAAGGACTCAGTTAAGACGGAACGATGTATGAGTAACCCACCTGTCAAAATCAGGTCTGTACTTTTCGATATCAGTTGCTTGGAACTTTTCAATTGTATTGCCGGTACTTGTCAGCAGTGGCGTAGAGAGGGGGGGGGGGGGGCTGGGAGGTTTGGTTCAAGCCAAAAATCAAAATGCATCCGCCACCCCCCTCTTCCCCGCCCCCGACGGGGAGAAGAAAGCCCCCCACCGTTCCGCTTAGCTCCCCCATTGGTGAAGTCCTGGCTACGCCACTGCTTGTCAGTACTTGATTCCTCAGTCTTACTTGAATTAGTAACTAGGTCATTCCTAAATACCTTCGATGCATGCATCCATATGCTACGAAGAGACCGAAATTTCATTTCTTAGGTACTCGGTTATGTTGACTGCTCCACTGCAAGTATTTTCCAGAACTCCAAGAACAAGTCATTGGTTGTGATCGATGACGTCTACACCGCTAAATTAAGAAAACCCCATTGACACCTCATTTGTCGAATTTAGTTCTTTCGAAATTTTCGGATAAGTGGCAAGTATGGAAGTGAGGCTTCAATTGGGTTCCTGCAGATTGCTTCGAGCTTCTTATGTCAGATACTCGTCTCTTCTTGCCTAAAGCCCAATGCACGCTGATTGCGAAGAGCTGCGGCAAAGCACCAATAGGACCGCCTGAGTTGCTCGCAGTTATTTCTTGACTGCAGCCGTACGTGAAGCAACCCGCACACCAGTCGCTAAGTGCGCATAGAAAATCCAGCATGGCACCTTGTCAACTAAAAGCTCATGCTACTGCGCCTCGACTCCTTTTGCGGCGCCGGAGAAGAAAAAGCTCTCATCAATGATAGATACGTCCCATAAACAGGTCCTGTCATCAGATAGGAGAATTTGCGACTCCGTTTGAAAAGATTATCGCTGAAGGCAAGGAATGCGTAAAAATATATCCTGAACTGTTCAAGCCTGTTGGAGAAGTAGCTGAGAAGACAGGACACAAACTTCAGACCCAGCACAAATGTTGTTAGGGTCTTTGAGGTGAGTAATCACGTCCCAAATACTCATACTGACAGCACTAACAGCAGTTACTCTTGTGGACAGGCTTTTGCCCTTGAAAGACTGGGGCCTCTCGACGTAAAAATAAAGGAAAATACCTCGTACATGGTGGAAAGTATGAGAAAATCGTCAGAATGACGAATGACGTTGTCTTCCGTGAAGATTTGTTTTACTTGCTTAAGTATCTCGCTCGTAGAGACTCAATGGTAACGATTAATCACCTATCGCTAGGTCAATCCTCCATTTCAAAAATTCTCTTATGCTTTTCGGTGATTAGCCGTCATTATCAAGCGACTCCAACGCGCGTCGTCGGCACACACGCAGCACGTAAGCACAGCACATGGCCTACTGCGAAGACACAACCTGATTTGATACGTCCTATTCCGTTACAAAACTTAATGCAATCGAATACGAGGGTCCCACGCATTCCTAGTGCAACCTATTGCAAAGAACTGTGACGGTCGCAGTGGTTGCAACGCAACTCTCGCAGTCAGTGTGCTGGTACTATTTCAGTGACTCCAACCGACACTCGTGCATGAGAATACACGGACATCTGAATAATCTGAAAATTTTTCAGAATCAAACGAAATAAATTTTAATAATACCCGAGGATGATAAAAGAACTAGAAATATCGAACAACAATCGCAAATCCTTGGGAGTAAGTACCGAGGCACGACAGACGTTTTTCGAGTCAGTTTCTAAACTCTAAAGAAAAAGTTGGGGATATCATAAAATCTATATGATCTGATTAAAGTAAAGACCAGACATTTTTGAGAATGAAGATGTGTGTATTTATTAGCGCTGGCGATTCGGGGGCCTTGAATATAGCTCCCTGTTATTTATATACTTTTCAGGATACAGGTTTTCAGAAGAACCTTCTTCCTATTGTAGAGCAACGCCAATATCCATAACTTTTTCTTAGAGTTTCATTTGACTCAATGACTCACCTATCGTGCATCTAAAAAAAAGCTAGATCTCTTTGCTGGGTGATTTATGCTTTCCTATGGAAACTAAATATTTAAAAAGTCAGCTTATTAAACAATGCAGAAATTGAAATCTCATTCTATGCACCATTCATGATTCAGTTGACTCTCGAATCATACGACGGCAGTCCCGAGAAAGACCCTGTCGTGAATTAACAGGAACGAAACATCACTATAGCTTCACTCAGATCTTCAACGAAGGGATGAGGAAGCCAATGGACGAAGCCAGGAGTGGATAAATAATTTATGCACTAGCGCATTTGAGATTTTGTTGTGACAAATCGAGCCAAACACCTATACACAAGCCCAACATATCTGGAGACGAAGGCATGGATGGCAGTCCCCTGTATGGGGATGTCTGTATGAAGAAAAAGGCTTTAGAGGCCGAAGCAAGCATGCCCTTCAGGCGCTGCAGGCACTTATCAGAGACATTACAGGGAAATCCTGCAAATACCTGCTCATGTTCTTCAGGACATCCTGAAAACCTTCATTAAAATAATCCAGGCGACTGTCCATGCTCAAGACGATCATTTAGTACATAGAGTTCATTCCGTGGGGAAGTCAATTTTAAAATGTCATGTCACTGTCATATATTTCGTAAAACTCCATTGATATTCGTGTTACAGAGTGATTTGGATACTGTTGATACACTCCTCTTTCGTCAGGAAAACTTTCTTTGCTAGAAAGAAAAGTAATATACCTTTAGAACCCTCCTTGAATTCACGTTGACTGTGAGAGGGGTGAGCTTGTGCCCACATCGCAATGGAGTGCCCATGTGGGCCTCACATCGGCGCTAGTGCGACAGCCAATATTTCTCCTCTGTTGGAGAGCTATCTATCTCAGTTATTCGAAAAACCAAGGTTCCTACAAATGAAGCAAGATGGTGCCCTATAGTCACAACTTCAGTGGTATCGGGTAGTGACTTACTATATAGACACGTTTCCTGTATTTTTCATACGGCACCCGGTCTTTTACCACAGACAACGTAGGGAAGACGAACTCCTCCCAGGTAAAACGAAGCACTTTACATTGATGTAGGAAAGGTTGGCTGAATGCGGAGGTGAGCTGATCACGTTAGTACAAACTTGGTAGAAAATGGGCATGAGATGTAGGCTGCCCCTACTAGCACCCCAATATTGGAACAATATTGACTGTTAAGGAATCTTGATCCAATATTGGCACCCATCTTGGACAATTATTGGGATTACTGTACAATCATTGGGTTTGACTGTAAATTTCTGAAGTGAGGGATGAATATATCTAAAATGCCCTGTAAGCAATAAATTGCTACTCTAATTGGTACTATTAGTTTCCGCAAAATCCCACACGAGATCATAATTATACGCCAAGCAGGTCGAGCTGTTTTCTTTTTTGACACCTGCTCATTCATGAACATTAAACGTACCAAACCTCTGTATGACCTCGGGTTGGACGTTTTCATGAACGTTCTGGTGCTTCTTGAGCATGTAAAAGTGAAACCTTGGATCCTGATCCAGATACTGTCTCTCAAAGACGATCGTAATGGAAAGGAATATGGACACTGGGATCCACCCTCGAATCTCCCTCGGAGGGCACAGAGAGAGGAATCTGAGTCATGGCCGTGAACAGATTAGCGAGGCTTATTTATGGGAGTCACTGGACGTCATTGAGAGGTCATCCTGCTCTCAACCGCTTTCCCTCTCACGGAAACTTTTCCCACTCCCGGAAAAACTCTTTTCGAGAGGCTCTTCACCGGCTAAGTCCGAGTTACTTCACGGAAAACCACTGTATGTAGCGGCATCCATGAAGCTAAGAAGTGAACTCAGGACAAATAAGTACATACAATGCATGAAAATAGGGCATCATAATTTTATTGAATATTTCATCTTCCTTCATCACTGCAAGCGACTCGATGAACCCCTGAGATCAGATACTCTCAAAAAAGGTAATATCACCGTAAGCCAAAACTGACCTCAGTGGTAGAAGATGACACGGGTAGACATTGAAGAACGCCTGACCATTTCCATCTAATATATTTAAGGCTTTCACACGTGAACAATTGATTATACCGAAAGACAGAGAAATAGATCTCTATTACAGAGACTTTAACTTCTATTCTCACTGTCTCTGAGCCATCAATCCTCAAGTGTCAATCTCAAGTTAAAGCCTAGCATCTGACAGGTAGGCGAGTTCTGACATTTATCCATGCTTTCCCACGCAGTTTGCTATCACTGAAATCAGTCTTCGCCTGCGGTGCAATGATGCATTCAATGGAAAAATATTTTCATTTGTCTAGCGAGAGACAGAGTGAGAGTCTAGAGAGAGAGAGAGTTATCGTCGACTTGGGGAATGTGCGATCATTACATTAGGACCCATATCTTTGAGCAGCAAATACAAACTTAAAAAATACGGTCTTAAAGCAGAGGGGAAAATATGTTCATTGCCATGCCTATATAGGATATATTCATGAATATGGGCTCAGGTGATGAGCAATATTCACAAAGAAAGCACAATCGAATCTATTTCCACAGGGTCACTCTTTGGGGTCTTTGCGGACCAACTTGGAATTCTCGGCCATGGAAATCATGGACTTACGGATCCATGAGGTATACGACGAGACTTTGGTGTAAATGCTGGGCACACCAGGACGGGCGCATTTTCCAACAGAGAAGGACACAATACCAACTAGGACGAATTTTCCATTCAGTTCACACACCAGGGGTCCGCCGCTGTCACCTCTGCAGGGATCTCCTTCCCCTTCAGCACACAGCTTATCCTTATGGTCCGTCAGCCCCGTTTTCTCTTCACATTCTTCCTCGGAGACAATTTTTACGTTAGCCGCTCGAAGATACCGAGATAAGGAGACATTCCCAAGTTCATCATAGACTCCAAATCCCGAAACGGTGCAGGAGGTGCCGGCAGGAACTTCGAAACCATGTTCAGGGAGACATGCAGGTTGAACTCCCTTTCCAAATTTGATTGAAGAACCGTCCTTCTTCTGGACTCTTAAAAGAGCAATGTCGTTCTCGGTATCTGGGATAAAGGGGGTGTAACTGGCGTAAGCTATATTATCCATCGCCAAAGACTGTTCGTCATCTTCTTCCGTGTTCAAGTTGTCTACGTTTCCCACGACGACGTGAAGGTACCTTGGTGGTTCGGTGTGTATGCAATGGGCCGCAGTGAGTACATAATGAGAACCAATAATAGCAGCACCACAGCGATGAGTGAAAGTGCCAGTTTTTGACTCGTAGCGACGTATTTGAGCCTGCCAAGGATATAAGCCACTTTGAACCACTGGTTCACTATTGATCACGAGAGGAAGCAGATGCGGGATGGAATCGACCTTTCTCTGTCCGCAGGCTCCTGGAAATATTTGCATTTCATCATCCGAAGGCGGAAATGAAGGTGGGAGAGTGATGGAGTCATTAGCATTCCCGCGTAACTGCGGAGTAAGGGAAAAGGATGCGTTTAGAGCCTCCTCGTCAAGAATGTAAAGGAGGAAGGCACGGGATTTCAGCAGCTGATGTCGAATTACACTGGAGCAAGTCGGTTTTTCATCACTCCTTACACATTCCGTGAGACACGTCTGAGTCTCGTGAGCGTAGGCAAAACCACTGCATGGGGGATCCTCAAAGCAAATCCGAGCACATCCTTGCAGAGTCACCAGGTTAAACTCATTCGGTGTTTTCTTGAAAGAGAGAGTGGTGGATCTATTGAAAAGGGAGAATATATGTTTGCACAATTCTTCGTCGTAGCGGTTGGCACAGTCCTGCGTATCATCGCAGAGATGAATGGCATTCACACATTCTCCCAAGGAGCATTTGTAATGTTGCTCAGGGCAGATCACACCCCGGTCTTTCAGAGAATAAAAATTCCAATACAGAGTCAAAGAGAGTTGCGCCTTAGTGGATAGGAAATGTCCAGAATACAGCTCACAGGTTTTATCGATGGAATTGTATGCAAAGCCCCCGCAATATTTTTTTCGTCCAAATGCGGCTTCCAGGCAAAGTTTATGACACGCTTGCAGAGACACCGTGTTCCATTCGGCGAACAAATCAGAACCGTGCTTGATGAAGCCAGTGTCCACTTTATACCCAGACCGCACCTCAAATAGGTTCGTGATGTCTTGATCGCACTTTTCTTCGTCGCTCCCTGATAAGAAGCAACTTAAGACACCATCACATAGTTGGGCATTGATGAAGCACACGCGGTCCGTCTGGTGCTTACATGTCACTAATGCCACATCACAATGCCTGCCGGATTGAGCATGGGAAACCGCGAGGAGCTGCAGCAGCCAGAAAAGTCTCTGGAATAGCAAGGGCATTGAGATGATGAGAGGTGCGCTGTTCGATGGCCTCGTGAACGGAGTGAACTGGTCAGACATGAGAGATGAGCTCGCATAGCCCCAGGTGATTGGGCTCAAGGCCATGCATTCTCTTGCTGTGCAACTATTATCATCAGAACGTCATTTAATGAGACCGATTTTCCTCTTGCGGCTTGAAACAGCTGCTCGCCTTAAAATAAGGGAATTCCATCAGGAAGATTAATGTGAAGATATGGAGGAAAGCAAAAATGTCGGAAGCCATAAAATGGAAATAAAACTCCTCCCCACACAGCCTCTTTGAAGAAAAGTAAAAGGGCCTATAAACCTTAACCTTGGGGTTCCCTTCATAACTTGAGAGTCTTCCCCTTATCCCAGAATATGGATCTATTCCTGTCCACGCTCTCCGAGGACCCAAACCCTTGCGTGAAATGCCAGAATCGAATGCCAGCTGTGACTCGTATGCTATTTCCGGGCCCTCTCGCTCAAGAAAGTGTTTGCCTACTTCCGGTGATATTACTTTTGTGTCTTACAGCGATATCACGTCCGACTTCCTCAGGGCACACTTAAGCAATCCAACAGTCGAACGAGCCAGTTCTTCCAATACCATGTGGACCGAATCGATAGTGACCTCTCCGAATTACAGGCCTTTGAGCATCCCCCACGATGTGACATTATGGGGCTTCATATCTTCGGAGATCAAGAGAGTGATTAACCACTTCGGTGACGCACCTTGGATGGTATGTGAGTCGGTATCACATTATGCTTCCCTTGCATACAACTAGACAATTCTTATGGTAGGTAAATGGGGTGTCTGGAGGGATTCGGCGGTTTTCAGAGATTCAAGAGCTGGTGGAAAAAGCAGCTTCTAACTTGAGGAACAGAGGTTTGAAAAAAGGCGATGTGGTATGCTTTCACAGCGAAAATCACGTAGATTACGTGATTCTTGTTTTAAGCGTCATCGCATGTGGAGCTGTGCCGTTTTTGCTCCCTCTCTGCTCAACCGGTAAGGCGCCATGCCAGATTCCTACTTTGCGTTGTCATGAAACTTCCTTTGAGACACATCGTGAAATGCATTTTGACAGATGCATTAGAGGACCAATGCCACCTGGAGAGCTTCCAAATAATTTTCTGCTCTGCATCCAACTACGAAGACGTTTGCGCTCGCATAAAATCATGTCCATCAGTCAAATACGTCATCAGCATGGATCCACATCCATCTCGAAAAATTCAGACTTCGAATGATCTGTTCCAGGGGTCACCAGATGGTTTGTCTCTTATGTTCACTGCACCTTTGTGAGGTTTTTTTCCTTCAAGTCAGATTTTTTGCAGGATTTGGATTTCTTTTTTCAGGAGTCGTGAAAGTAACAGGAGTTGAGAGCGACTTGGCTGTGATTTTCTTAAGCAGTGGAACGACTGGTAAACCAAAGACCATTGAACATACTCATTACAGCATGATTGCTGGTTTCTGCAACACTGCCAGGTAAACCATTATTTTTCTATTCGCAAATCCACATGAAGACTCATTTCATCTTCATTCATCAACGATGACTGCTGGGAATGACGTTTACTGTCATTCACCAGGGAAGTGAAGGAATGGGAAGGGACTGAAGATTGGAGAATGGTGATACCATTCCACCTGGGACACGTGTCTGGTTTATGTCATGCTTTCATGGCCATAAGATTGGCTCATCAACTCATCTTCCTTCCCAAATATGATCCTTCCCACCTCTTAGCTGCCATTCAACGATACAAGGTGCCCCATATTGGTATTGCCATAGAGTAGGACCTACAACGAACTTCCCATTCGCGAACGAAAATTTTATTGATACCGCATAACGTGTTATCCTGATCCAAGGCCCAGTTCCTGTACTGCGTTCCCGTTGTAGCTGAGATGCTGGTGAAATCTAGCCTTCCGTCTCTCTATGACTTGCGCACTCTCGAAATCATTAATACCGGTGGGAGCGTCCTTGCACCATTCATCAGGGAGGAAATCCTCAGTAATTACCCTCATGTCAAGGCCTGTCTGGAGGTGTTTCTCTCGTGTGCCATTTTCTCATTCAAGAATCGGAAAGATTGTCGAATGAGTCGGATATTTCTCTTGTTTTTAGATCTATGCTACGACGGAATCCATCGGGATCGCCAGTAATGCTCCTCCGTTTTACAAGCCCGGGTCCGTTGGCATACTAAATCCTTGGACACAAGCAAAGGCGAGTTTTCCTTAGGGATTACAAGCATGATTCAAGATAGTTAGTGATATCACGAGGCGATTTCACCCATTTCGATATCACGTGTCGAGGTCGAGCGTTCCTTAATTTTAGGGTAGGCCTAACCCTCTTAAAGCTAAATATTTTATTATTTTTTTATTATTTATTATTTTTTTATTTGACTATCCAATTGCTTACTGTCTAGTACCTAACGTCAACATTGCCCCCCACCTTTTTGCCTGTCCATGAAAGCATCTAGTTTCTTCTTAAAGATAGTCACAGAAGGGGCAGCCACTACTTCGTCATCAACGCATTCCACGCGTTCACCACTCTGCAAGTAAAGAATTCCTGTCTCGACCTGAGCCGCACCTGCGGTTTGCGCAACTTAAGTCGGTTACCTCTCGTTCTCTTGCTGTCATCAAACTGGAAAAACCTACCACACTCGACATTATCTATTCCTTTAATTATCTTGAAAGCCTGGATGAGATC